GGGCAAATAAAAAGGAAAATCCGCTTTCAACCATTTGTATGAACCAAGCCCCTCCCCCCCCCCCAGACACGGTGATTTCAACAGGGAATTCAGAAGTAATTCAAATATATAATAAATATAAAAACAGGCTACACCAACACTTAAGACATTTTAGACTATGAATGTATGGCTTGTGGAGTAAGTGTAGGTATGTATGCTTACATTTGTGACTGTTGGTTTAGAAAAAAGTTAGCTGATTTGTGTAGCAAGATTGGGATTTCCGAGGTCTGGGAATGATTAACTTATGAATATAGTAGCTAGCATCCAGCTGTGTTGCAAGATGGTTCAATTGCGGTTCGACATTTGGGAAGTTATTTGATCGATGTGAAACAGCTGAGTACATTACTAGGACAGCTGTCCTGCCAGATGTACGATTCTGCATAATTTGCGGTACGACATTTGGGTTGCTATTTTAGTTTTTGATGAAGTTAGGTTAGGTGGGGATGGATAGTCTGGCCATTTTTGGAATAATAACATTAAATGGATTACACAGATAAGTTGCATGCTAGGGCCTCATTGCATATCTTTGTGACGTCATTCATAGTTTAACAGTCAGCTTAATGTACCCATTTGTGGATCAAACCGCATTAGGGATTAGAATATCAGAATAAAGGTAACTGCAGAAGGCCTATTTCAAAACATCCGAGGTTGCATTTACTCAATGCAGTTCATATATATGTCCACTGAATTATTTTTTTTTATTTGTTATATGCTATAGTAAGGTGTAGGGGGCATGTTCTTAAGCGATTGCGAGACGTAAATAGGACTAGAAGTGAAGGAGGAATTAAATAAAAATATCTTGAGTGTTGGTGTAGCCTGTTTTTTGAAAAATTACATATTTGGATTACTACTGAATTCAGTGTTGAATCAGCGTGTCTGGGAGGGAGGGGCCTGTTTCATACAAATTTCTGATAGCGGATTTTCCCTTTTATTTGCTTTATAGTCGATAAGCAATCTCTGAAGAAAGATTGACAAGGCTTAATTTACATTCCCTTGAATGGCGAAGAAATAGTGTGTGACATGATAGAGGTGTGAGTGACTGGACATGACAGAGGGGGATATTAATAGCCTATTAAAAGTTTCAACAGAAGACAGAATACGAAACAATGGGTATAAATTGGATAGGTTTAAGATTTAGGAAAAAGACCTGGGTAAATACTCGTTTGGTAAAATGGGTGAACTCTATGATACATGTCAGTTCTGGCTCTGTATTGCTCCCTTTTTTTCATGTGAATTTATTTCATTCATTCCTATGCTCAATAAACGATCCTTGGCTGGACACTAAATACAAAACTTCTAGATAATTAAGGGGGAGTAAATAAGACCATCAAAATATTAATGGATTTATATTATTGATGTGCATAAAACATGATGCCAGATGGACGCCGTTAAATCTCACTGCGGTAACGAAACCACATGAGGCCATAGCGAAGCCGTTAAATCTCATTAGGAGAAACGAAAATACATGATGCCAGATCGAAGCCGTTAAATCAGACTGGGGTAACGAAAATACATGAGACAAACTCGCTCCACTCCACAGGGGCAACGAAAAAACATGAGGCCACCTAGCTGCAACCCACCGGGGCAACGAAAGCACATGAGGCCAACTCGCTGTAGCCTTCTGTGGTAACGAAAACACATGAGGCCAACTCCCTGGTGTACACCGGGGTAACGAGAAATATGAGGCCAACTCGCTGCAGCCCGCCGGGGCAACGAAAACACATGAGGCCAACTCCCTGCTGTACACCGGGGTAACGAGAAATATGAGGCCAACTCGCTGCAGCCTGCTGGGGCAACGAAAACACATGAGGCCAACTCCCTGCTGTACACCGGGGTAACGAGAAATATGAGGCCAACTCGCTGCAGCCCGCCGGGGCAACGAAAACACATGAGGCCAACTCCCTGCTGTACACCGGGGTAACGAGAAATATGAGGCCAACTCGCTGCAGCCGGCCGGGGCAACGAAAACACATGAGGCCAACTCGCTGTAGTCCACCAGGGTAACAAAAGCACATGAGGCCAACTCGCTGCAGTCCCCCGGGGTAACAAAAGCACATGAGGCCAACTCGCTGCAGTCCCCCGGGGTAACAAAAGCACATGAGGCCAACTCGCTGCAGTCCCCCGGGGTAACAAAAGCACATGAGGCCAACTCGCTGCAGTCCCCCGGGGTAACAAAAGCACATGAGGCCAACTCGCTGCAGTCCACCGGGGTAACGAAAAAGCATGAGGCCAACTCGCTGCAGTCCCCCGGGGTAACAAAAGCACATGAGGCCAACTCGCTGCAGTCCCCCGGGGTAACAAAAGCACATGAGGCCAACTCGCTGCAGTCTACCGGGGTAACGAAAAAGCATGAGGTCAACTCGCTGCAGCTCAAGAAAACTAAACTGCAACGAGTTGACCTACTTTTAACCACTACACTCACACCAGTCTAGGTCACACTCACCCTGTCCTAGGTCACACTCAACCTGTCCTAGGTCACACTCACCCTGTCCTTGACACTATTCACACGCAGCTGACCACACGGGTAGCCCTCAGACTACAGAGGCTCGGCCGACAACATTATCTCCTCTTACAACCTACATGGATTTCTGTGGCTAGATAGCACTCCATTCCTACATTAGTGCCTGGACAATATATAGTTATTGTTGGCGTTGTTTGAGTGCTGGGGGAAACATGTATTGCTTATGGTTGGGGGTTCGAGGCTGTGAATTGGTAATGTGGTTGGTGAATGGTGAATGGTTAAGAGGATATTGGGGTTCCAGGCGTTTGTGAAGCAAGAGTGTCAGTGGTGGAGTATGTGGGATAGGGAAGTCGGTTTTGTAATGGTGCAGGGATGTTGAGGATGAAGGGAGCTAGGGTAACGGTGTGTGGTTATTGTGAGTGTGTTGGAGATATGGTCAAAGGGAGAGTGTTAACGTGCTGGGTGTGGTCAATGTTTGAGAGATAAAGCTGTTTAAGGGAAGCTTCTTAAGATGTTAACTGGCTGTAACGTTACACTGGAACGTAAGCCTGAGGCACACAAGAGGACTAAGATCCTTTAGGAATATTCCAACCTTTTCTTGTTACATATTATCCTCCTTGAGATACATTGCATTTCTGATCATCTCATTAATATCTCATTCAACCACTACAAGCATATTAGCTTAGTTTTAATTTTATTTTTCCTTTATTTCATTTTTTTTCCTTGTGACTCCATAGTCAATTAGATGCCATTATACCAGACCTTAAGAATGTCCTTGAAAACTATTTTCCTAACTTCTCAAGACACACACACGTCTTCATGGTCATAATGACAAGAATCTCAAGAACAAGACAGAGGTAGTAAGCATTTTTGTGTGAATTTGTGTATGGTGTGATGCAGAGAGATCGTAACACGAGAAGAGGTTAAGAGGAAAGAGAAACTTCGTAACGTCACGGTTCTGAATTAGAGAAGAACTGAGGTAGGGACTGAGTTGAGTCACAAAGTTGAGTTAAGTTGCAGTGAGAGGTTAAGATCGAATTGAGGGATTGTGAGAGAAGAAGGGAGAGAGAGAGAAAGATGGTTGAGTGCTAGATACATAGATATTTTTACATAATCTTAACTAAGGTACAAAATAGGACCTATTAAGAAAAGGAACGACTCAAAATAGAATTCTATTCACTAGACTCAATAAATTAGGTGGGTTGGTTGGATTAGTATGTATATGATTAGGAAAGGACGTTGTATTTTTGACGGAGAGGCAAATCTATAGAACGGGCCTGGTATAGTGCGGCAGAGGTTGAGACACGACTTAATAAGTAGAGATTAAATGGAAGACGGAAGCAGTTGGGCATCGTTTATAAATAATTTGTTAATCTGTGATAGTTAATAAGTGGGAAACAAGTGATAGTTTATAAGTGGGCAGCGATAACATTGAGTGAATACTGGAACACAGATATATATTTTTGTTTAGCATTTACTTTAACTAGAAACTGATTATATTGCTCCAAATAAAATTAGGTAATTTCTTGGCTAGTTATAAACATTCAGGCCTTGACAAGAATGCAAACTAATCATCAGACTTACCAATATACAGTATCACAAAAAATCACCTGACCTCAGTTCCCCACTTATATAACCACGAATTATATAATGGAGACACACTCTGACACCCTTGATGGATTAACGAACATTAACAATTACACATCATGAACCATAGATATATAATTATATTAACACAGAATCAGTAATACAAATAAATAATATAGTCAGGAAATAAATATTCAAACAAATAAAATCTTGAGAGTAGGACTAGTTGGCTATAATCATGTATTGGTTTTTAGGCCACACAATATTTTAATACTGGCATATATTATTCATTAAATCCATCACATCATTAAAAATAATAAACAGAGAGCAATATCACACTAACATGATGTATCAATGAGGAAATTCGTAGAAGATGTGACGAGGATTCGAACCTATGCTCTGGATATTCACAGGCTCACTCCCCAGATAACCAGACCACGGAAAGGTAAAAGGATTACAACCTGAGGTTCTACTGAACCCTCGAGGGTTCCTGAGGCTTCCACTGAAGCCGAACCAGGGTGTCACACAATCCTCTCACTGCACTCTGGCTCTGCCGCGTAGGAATGTTCCTCTTTTGGCGCTTCTGATGATGGTTTTAATGATGAAGGGAAGAGGGTGATGGGTAGGGAAGGTGGAGAAGGATAGGGAAAGTGGTGAAGGGTAGGGAAGGTGGTGAAGGGTAGGGAAGGTGGGGGGGATAGGGAAGGTGGGGCGGGGGGGGGGTGGGTAGGGAAGGTGGTGAAGGGTAGAGAAGGTGGTGAAGGGTAGGAAAGGTTGTGAGGGGCAGGGAAGGTGGTGAAGGATAGGGAAGGGAAGGTGGGGAATGGTAGAGAAAGTTGGGAAGGGTAGGGAATTATGTTAAGAGTGGAGTAACGTGTGAAGGATAGGGGGAAGAAAGTGAAAATTACTGAAGATGGTTAAGGGTAGGGAGGGTAGTGAAAGGAAGGATAGATGTAGAAGCATTTCCAAGTTGGTGAAGGGTATTGAAGGTTGTGAAGGATTCGGAAGGTGGGGAAGACTAGGGAAGGTGGTGAAGGTTAAGGATGGTCGTACCTGCTGGATAGGGTTTTGCGAGTTCTTCTACTCCCCCAAGCCCGGCCCAAGGCCAGGCTTGAGTTGTGAGAACTTGGTCCACCAGGCTGTGGCTTGGAGCGGCCCGCAGGCCCACATACCCACCACAGCCCGATTGGTCCTGCACTTCTTGAAGAAAATTATCTAGTTTTCTCTTGAAGATGTCAACGGTTGTTCCGGCAATATTTCTCATACTCTCTGGGTGTGTATGATGGGGCCATCTTCAAGGGTAGTTGGGAAGATGGGGGAGAGAAGGAAAAGTCGTGAAATGAGATCAGACGGTGAAGGAGAAAGAAGAGATTATGATAGCTGTAGATGAAATACACAGCGATACCCAAATAGTGAAGATATTTCTAGTGATAAAGGCAGCATGGAGTGAAGATGGCTAAGTAGATGAGACAAGAATGATGGGCGTGTGTAGTGTAGATGGTTACAGTGTTGACACTTTATTAAGTGAAGAATTCAGGGTTTAGTTAAGATAGTTAAAGCTTTTATAATTACATGTAGTGAAGGGAGTTACAGTAATATAATATATCACTGTAAATATTTAATAAGACAAACAAAACGCATTACTGAATATATTACGCAAATATTACTGGTAAAGGAGTGTCTTCCTAATTTTCTAATGCGCATTTCTTTTATATATCAGAACAAGATCGAAGTTGGAATCTTCATGAGGAATATCCCGGGATGAATAAATCCACAATGGCCGTGATGTGGGTTCGAACCTACGTCCGAGAGGATCCCAGACGCGCCTTAATCGACTGTGCCATGACTTGTGGATTTATTCATATGATGCATTACGCTATTGTGATTTCTGTGTGTAATGTCCCAAGATATCCCAGGGACTACATAGCCCCAAACATGCCCAGGTCCATATGACAGTGCTCGCTCTCTTAAGGGACCACACGAGCTAAAGCTGGGAATTTATGGTCCCAGACGGCAGTGTTGTGTAAGGTGGTGGGAGGGTTGGGGCCCAAGAGTTATAGCCAGAGGAAGGACACAAGACACGTAATCTTCTCCAGCTTTCACTTCTGGATGATGGCTTAAGGGCTCCCTGCCGCTCTAATTGGTGCATTTCGGACACAAACGCCGCCCCGTTTGTGGACAACACCGTCACAATTGAGGCGGATTTGAACGGATTTCATTCGAATCTCTCAGCAGGAAGGGTTGCTTTGATGGAGGAAGGGGGATAGGCTCCGGGCACCACGCTGCTTACAGCGCTGGTCGCTGTAGTGGAACTCTGAGTTACAGCGCTACAGTTACAGTTACTGAGTTACTGAATCATAGTTACACAACTCTGAGTCAAGATAACCTTGCTCATCCTACCACTTTCTTGCTACCTTAAGCCATTTATTAACTATGTAGCCAGCGGGACGCTCCAAGCAACAGCCTGTTGGACCAAGCTCTCACAAGTCAAGCCTGGCCCCCTGGCCAGGCTTGGGGAGTAGGAGAAGTCAGAACTCTATCCAGCAGGTATATTTTATATTACATAATTCCAAATGTTTTTGAAATGACATTCTTAACTAGGCAGTATCATATCAGTTATGTAACTGATGTAGTCATTAGCAGCAGTCGTCTGTTCCTGTTACAACCTGTTTAAAAAATCAGATTATTTAATTTTAATTCATAGACTGATAAAAAAAGTAATTCAATGTTTACTGTAGCCTTTAACTTCTTCCAATAATGGTAACGTGAAGACATAGATACTTTGTTGGAAGGTTATAAAGAATCTTATTTGCCTGACGCGTTAAAAAATTTAAATAAATATATGTACATAATTAGAATCTTGAATAATTCGCAGATACGTACACACACACACACACACACACACACACACACACACACACACACACACACACACACACACACATCATCATGTATGATTCCACATGTGGAATCATACATGTCAATGTTTGCGGATGAAGCAAAATTAATGAGAAGAGTTTTGACAGATGAGGATTGTAGGGTCCTCCAAGAGGACTTAAACAGATTGCAGAGATGGTCAGGGAAATGGCTACTGGAGTTCAACACCAGTAAATGTAAAGTTATGGAAATGGGATCAGGTGATTGACGACCAAAAGAACAGTACACAATGAAGGGGAACTGCCTACCTGTAACGATTCGAGAAAGAGACCTGGGAGTGGATGTGACACCTAATCTAACTCCTGGGGCACATATCAATAGGATAACGACAGCAGCGTACTCTACACTGGCGAAAATAAGAACTTCATTCAGAAACCTAAGTGAGGAGGCTTTTAGAGCGCTTTACACTGCCTACGTGAGACCAGTCTTAGAGTATGCCGCGCCATCATGGAGCCCCCACCTGAAGAAACACATAAGGAAACTAGAGAAGGTTCAGAGGTTTGCGACGAGGCTTGTCCCAGAGTTACTAGGGATGGGATATGAAGAACGTCTGAGGAAACTGAACCTTACGACACTAGAGAAAAGAAGGGAGAGAGGAGATATGATAGGAACATATAAAATACTCAGGGGAATTGACAAAGTGGAAATAGATGAAATGCTCATGCGTAATAATAACAGAACGAGGGGACATGGATGGAAACTGGAAACTCAGATGAGTCACAGAGATGTTAGGAAGTTTTCTTTTAGCGTGAGAGTAGTGGAAAAATGGAATGCACTTGGGGAACAGGTTGTGGAAGCAAACTCTATTCATAATTTTAAAATTAGGTATGATAGGGGAATGGGACAGGAGTCATTGCTGTAAACAACCGATGGCTGGAAAGGCGGGATCCAAGAGCCAGTGCTCGATCCTGTAAGCACAAATAGGTGAGTACAAACAGGTGTTCACACACACACACACACACACACACACACACGCGCGCGCACACGCACACGCACACGCACACACGCACACACGCACACGCACACACGCACACACGCACACGCGCACACACACACACACACACACACACACACACACACACACACACACACACACACACACACACACACACACACACACACACACACACACACACACACACACACATGCTCACCCAACCCTCCCTAATCCCCCACTCCATTCTGACCCTATCACCCCTCCCCCATTTCACCATGTCCCCCCTACTGCCTTTTCCCCCTGTCTCCCCTTCCCCTTCATCCCAAACCCTGGCTATCCCTCCTCCCCCGTCAACCCGTATCCTCCATGTCCCCCCTATCTCTTTACCCCACATCCTACCTGTCCCCCCTTCCCTTGAACCCCCCCCCAAAATAAAAAAATAAATAAATAAAAATCTCTGAGACCCTGCAAACCACCTCACAGATCTTCTCACCCAGGGAACAGCTTTCCCCGCCAGCAGAACGCTCGCCAAGAAGAGGAGAAGAAAATTAACAGAAAAAAGTGAGCTTCAAGGCAATGTACACTAACATAGATGGGATTACAAATAAAACAAGTGAACTGGGAGAATGGGCACTAGAAGAAACCCCAGACATAATAGCACTTACAGAAACAAAGCTAACGAAAACAATAACAGAGCCAATGTTTCCACAGGACTATTATGTAGTGAGGAAAAAAAGAGAAGGGAGAGGAGGAGGTGGTGAAGCTTTGCTGATAAGAAAAGGTTGAAGTTTTGAAGAGATGGTAAATCAGAGCTGTGAAGGTTTCAATGACTGCATATCAGGCACCATAGCAGCTGGAGGACAAAAAATTATAGTAGTAGACATATATAACCCCCCACCCAACGACAGAAGACTCAGACAGGAATATATGACAGAAACAACATGGCCACCATCATTATAATAGAGAGAGCAGCTTCTGTGGCTAGCAAGAACGGATCTAGACTAATAAGGGAGTCTTCATGATGGGAGACTTCAAACATGGGAAGATAGATTGGGGGAACAGAGACCCACATAGAGGACCAGACGCAAGGAGAGCTAAGCTGCTGGACGCGGCATCAAGAAACTTTCTAAGTCAAGGGACCGTCAAGGGACCGACAAGAATGAGATATGAGGATGAACCAGCTTTGCTTGATCTGATATTTACCCTAAATGAGTAGAATATAAGGGAAGTTAAGTTGGAAGCCCCCCCATGAGAATGAGTGATCATAGTGTATTGAGCTTTGAGTACCTGGTTAAGCAAGGAATTATCTCCCCCCAAAAAGAACTGGGAAACAAAGGGCTGGCGTACCGAAAGGGAAACTAGAGGAGATGAATAAATTCCTAAGGGATATACAATGGGACACAGAACTCAGAACTAAGTCCGTACAAGACATGATAGACTATGTCACCCAAAAGTATCAGGAGGCGGTAAACAGGTTTATCCTGGCCCGACAGGAAGAAACCGAGAAGCGAAAGAAGAATCCGTGGTTTAATAGGGCATGTATGAAAGCAAAGGAGCTGAACAAAGGGCCTGCAGGATCTTCCGTAATAACAGAACACCAGAAAGTAGAGAGAGATACCAGAGAACCAGGAACGGGAATGTTAGTGTGAGAAGAGCACATGAGAAAAGGTATGAAAATGATATAGCTAATAAAGCCAAAACCGAACCAAAGCTACTACACAGTCACATCAGGAGGAAAACAACAGTGAAGGAACAGGTGATGAAACTTAGAACGGGTGAGGACAGGTACACAGAGAATGGCAAAGAGGTGTGTGAAGAACTCAACAAAAGGTTCCAGGAGTTCTTTACCGTAGACCAAGGAGAGGTCACGGCGCTAGGAGAGGTGGCAGCAAACCAGGCGACCTTGGAAGGGTTCGAAATTACAAAAGATGAGGTCAAGAGGCACCTATTGGAGCTGGACGTGAGAAAGGCTGTAGGGCCAGAAGGAATCTCATCATGAGTACTGAAGGAGTGTGCAAGAGCACTTTGTTTGCCACTCTCCATTGTGTATAGTAGGTCACTGGAAATGGGAGACTTACCAGAAATATAGAAGATGGCTAATGTTGTCCCAATATACAAACAAAGCGACAGGCAAGAAGCACTGAACTACAGGTCAGTGTCCTTAACTTGTACACCATGCAAGGTGATGGAGAAGATCGTGAGAAAAACCCTAGTAACACATCTGGAGAGAAGGGACTTCGTGACAACCCATCAACATGGGTTCAGGGAGGGTAAATCTTGTCTTACAGGCATAATAGAATTCTACGATCAGGTGACAAACATTAAGCAAGAAAGAGAAGGATGGGCGGACTGCATTTTTTGGACTATCGGCAAGCCTTTGACACAGTACCCCCAAAAAGGCTGATGCATTAGTTGGAGATACAGGCAGGAGTAACTGGTAGGGCGCTCCAGTGGATAAGGGAGTACCTAAGCAATAGGAAGCAGAGAGTTACAGTGAAGGGTGTGACCTCAGATTGGCGTGAAGTCACCAGTGGTGTCCCACAGGGGTCTGTACTCGGACCTATCCTGTTTCTGATATACGTAAATGATCTCCCAGAAGGTATAGACTCATTCCACTCATTGTTTGTTGAGTAGTAGACAAATGGAATGCATTAGGAAGTGATGTGGTGGAGGCATACACAGCTTCAAGTGTAAATATGATAGAGCCCAATAGGCTCAGGAACCTGTACACCAGTTCATTGACAGTTGAGAGGCGGGACCAAAGAGCCAGAGCTCAACCCCCGCAAGCACTATTATGTAAGTACAATTAGGTAAGTACACACAGCCAGCCAGCGGGAGGGTCCCGCTCTACGAATATTTTTAATATTCTCGGGTTTATTAAGGATACAGAGTCAGATCACATGTCTAGGGTGTCACTAAGTGTATAACCACGAATAGGTGACTCTACAGTGACTCACACACGCCATCCTAACACAACGGTGTTTCCTTGCACGTTACACCATACACTAATCGTCACAGTAACTACTCCCCCCCCCCTTACAGTGGCTTCTGTAGTGAAACTAACAGTTACTCCTACAGTGACGGATGGCAGTGATTCACGTTTGTCATTTAAACGGATGGCACTAAAAAGTTTCTGTCAGTGATCTTTACGGTGACCCAAGGCAGTGATGCGTGCCTTCGTAGCAACAATACTCGTATTGTGCCGATCCATACAGTGACCTCTTTACAGTAGGGAAATTCAGTGCCCCAACAGTGCTTCCTACGGTGACCCAAGATATGGACACAAAAGTGACCCAAAATGTGGAGGCAACAGTGACCAAAGATGTGGACCCAACAGTGACCCAAGATGTGGACCCAACAGTGACCCAAGGTGTGGACCTAACAGTGACCCAAGATGTGGACCCAACAGTGACCCAAAATGTGGACCCAACAGTGACCCAAAATGTGGACCCAACAGTGACCCAAGATGTGGAGCCAACAGTGACCTAAGATGTGGAGCCAACAGTGACTCAAGATGTGGACCCAACAGTGACCCAAGATGTGGACCCAACAGTGACCCAAAATGTGGACCCAACAGTGACCCAAGATGTGGACCCAACAGTGACCCAACAGTGACCCAAGATGTGGACCCAACAGTGACCCCAAAATGCGGACCCAACAGTGACCCAAAATGTGGACCAACAGTGACCCAAAAGTGGACCCAACAGTGACCCAAGATGTGGACCCAACAGTGACCCAAAATGTGGACCCAACAGTGACCCAAGATGTGGACCCAACAGTGACCCAAAATGTGGACCCAACAGTGACCCAAGATGTGGAGCCAACAGTGACCCAAAATGTGGACCCAACAGTGACCCAAGATGTGGAGCCAACAGTGACCCAAAATGTGGACCCAACAGTGACCCAAGATGTGGACCCAACAGTGACCCAAAATGTGGACCCAACAGTGACCCAAGATGTGGACCCAACAGTGACCCAAGATTTGGACCCAACAGTTACCCAAAATGTGGACCCAACAGTGACCCAAGATGTGGACCCAACAGTGACCCAAGATGTGGAGCCAACACTGACCCAAGATGTGGACCTAACAGTGACCTATAATGTGGATCCAACAGTGACCCAAGATGTGGAGCCAACAGTGACCCAAGATGTGGACCCAACAGTGACCCAAGATGTGGAGCCAACAGTGACCCAAGATGTGGACCCAAGATGTGGACCCAGCAGTGACCCAAAATGTGGACAAAACCGTGACCCAAGATGTGGACCCAACAGTGCTCCCAACAGTGACCCAAGATGTGGAACCAACAGTGCTCCAAACAGTGACCCAAGATGTGGACCCAAGATGTGGACCCAACGATGCTCCCAAAAGTGCTCCCAATAGTGATCCAAGATGTGAACCTAACAGTGACCCAACAGTGCTCCCAACAGTGACCCAGGATGTGGACCCAACAGTGCTCCCAACAGTGACCCAAGATGTGGACCCAACAGTGCTCCCAACAGTGACCCAACAGTGACCCAAGATGTGGACCCAACAGTGCTCCCAACAGTGACCAAGATGTGGACCCAACAGTGCTCCCAACAGTGACCCAAAACGTAGTCCCAACAGTGACCCAAGATGTGGACCCAACAGTAATCCAAGATGTGGACCCAACAGTGACCCTAGATGTGGACCCAACAGTGACCCTAGATGTGGACCCAACAGTGACCCCAAGATGTGTACCCAACAGTGCTCCTAACAGTGACCCAAAATGTGGGCCCAACAGCGACTCAAAATGTGGACCCAACAGTAGTGACCCAACATGTGGATCCAACAGTGACCCAAGATGTGGACCCAACAGTGACCCAAGATGTGGACCCAACAGTGACCCTAGATGTGGACCCAACAGTGATCCCAAGATGTGTACCCAACAGTGCTCCTAACAGTGACCCAAAATGTGGGTCCAACAGCGACTCAAAATGTGGACCCAACAGTGACCCAAGATGTGGATCCAACAGTGAACCATGATGTGAACCCAACAGTGACCCAAGATGTGGACCCAACAGTGACCCAAAATGTGGACCCAACAGTGACCCAAAATGTGGACCCAACAGTGACCCAAGATGTGGAGCCAACAGTGACCTAAGATGTGGAGCCAACAGGGACTCAATATGTGGACCCAACAGTGACCCAAGATGTGGACCCAACAGTGACCCAAAATGTGGATCCAACAGTGACCCAAGATGTGGAGCCAACAGTGACCCAAGATGTGGACCAAACAGTGACCCAAGATGTGGACCCAACAGTGACCCAAAATGTGGACCCAACAGACCCAAGATGTGGACCAAACAGTGACCCAAAATGTGGACCCAACAGTGACCCAAAATGTGGACCCAACAGTGACTCAAGATGTGGACCCAACAGTGACCTATGGTGTGGATCCAAGATGTGGACCCAAGATGTGGACTCAGCAGTGACCCAAAATGTGGACCCAACCGTGACCCAAGATGTGGACCCAACAGTGCTCCCAACAGTGACCCAAGATGTGGACCCAACAGTGCTCCAAACAGTGACCCAAGATGTGGACCCAAGATGTGGACCCAACGATGCTCCCAAAAGTGCTCCCAATAGTGATCCAAGATGTGAACCTAACAGTGACCCAACAGTGCTCCCAACAGTGACCCAAGATGTGGACCCAACAGTGCTCCCATCAGTGACCCAACAGTGCTCCCAACAGTGACCCAAAATGTAGACCCAACAGTGACCCAAGATGTGGACCCAACAGTGATCCAAGATGTGGACCCAACAGTGACCCTAGATGTGGACCCAACAGTGACCCCAATATGTGTACCCAACAGTGCTCCTAACAGTGACCCAAAATGTGGGCCCAACAGCGACTCAAAGTGTGGACCCAACAGTAGTGACCCAAGATGTGGATCCAACAGTGACCCAAGATGTGGACCCAACTGTGACCCAAGATGTGGACCCAACAGCGACCCAAAATGTGGACCCAACAGTGACCCAAAATGTGGACCCAACAGTGACCCAAGATGTGGAGCCAACAGTGACCTAAGATGTGGAGCCAACAGTGACTCAAGATGTGGACCCAACAGTGACCCAAGATGTGGAGCCAACAGTGACCCAAGATGTGGACCAAACAGTGACCCAAGATGTGGACCCAACAGTGACCCAAGATGTGGACCCAACAGTGACCCAAAATGTGGACCCAACAGTGACCCAAAATGTGGACCCAACAGTGACCCAAGATGTGGACCCAACAGTGACCTATGATGTGGATCCAACAGTAACCCAAGATGTGGAGCCAACAGTGACCCAAGATGTGGACCCAACAGTGACCCAAGATGTTTAGCCAACAGTGACCCAAGATGTGGACCCAAGATGTGGACCCAGCAGTGACCCAAAATGTGGACACAACCGTGACCCAAGATGTGGTCCCAACAGTGCTCTCAACAGTGACCTAAGATGTGGACCCAACAATGCTCCAAACAGTGACCCAAGATGTGAACCCAAGATGTGGACCCAACGATGCTCCCAAAAGTGCTCCCAATAGTGATCCAAGATGTGAACCTAACAAAGACCCAACAGTGCTCCCAACAGTGACCCAAGATGTGGACCCAACAGTGCTCCCAACAGTGACCCAAGATGTGGACCCAACAGTGACCCAAAATTTAGACCCAACAGTGACCCAAGATGTGGACCCAACAGTGATCCAAGATGTGGACCCAACAGTGACCCTAGATGTGGACCCAACAGTGACCCCAAGATGTGTACCCAACAGTGCTCCTAACAGTGACCCAAAATGTGGGCCCAACAGCGACTCAAAGTGTGGACCCAACAGTTGAGACCCAAGATGTGGATCCAACAGTGACCCAAGATGTGGACCCCCAGCAGTGCTGTCTACAGTTATATCTCACAGTGACACCAACAGAGGCCAACACAGTGATACCTACAGTGACCGCAGAGGTGAATCTCTACTTTGACCCCTAACAGTGACCTGTTTAGTGACTCCCTCCTCCCTCCATAATCCTAAATATGATTTATAGCAGTGATCCCTTCAGTGACTCCTAAGGTGACCTCTACTTTGAGCCCTCGCAGTGATCCTTCCCCCTTCCAATACCGCAGTCTCCCCTATAGTGATCTCCAACAGTGATATCTACAGTGACACCGAGCACAACAACCTTAAAACACCTACAGTAACACATGCTAATAAGTGTTGGAAATCCGTCACACACGTAATAACATGAGTATCCCCTTAAAGAAAAGAGAATGGGTGATTCCGTGACGTCATCGATGTCACGTATTTATTATTACTCTAACTTCTTTTATACAACAGTCTATTATTTAAATTTAATAAAAAAGTGTTCACTGAGACTGAATATAATTATCAACACTGGGAATATAGCCTAATACTCTATTCCATAAACATAAATAGAACCATCAAACATTTGCGTTCGTCTCCCTCCGAGAGCGTCACGCACACACTGGAAGAATAACATCAGGACACGCTGTAGAGAGTCTTTCCATATAAGCTGATTTAACTCGTTAGACACCCAGACTACGTGTCAACAAGCGAGCAACCAGCAACACAGCCTCTCAACAACCACAGCAACAACAGTATCCGTCTTACCAAGTATTTACGTTTAATTGTGCACAGTTTATTCATAAATTGGTAGGCGGTTATGATGCATGAAGACCCCCCATAACAAGTACGTTTACACAGCTTAACACCCTCATATTCCATGTCTTGCTTGTACTTATATGTTTAGAGAAACATTATTAATTCTTTAAACTCGGCAGGTAATTGTGATTTGGAGTAACAAGAAGCTGAGCAGACAGTTGGGCCTTACAAATAAACTATTACCTAGCTGTATACCAAGCTTTGTAGCCTCCAGACAGCCGCCATTACGTGGCACTCAGAGGCGCAGGGCCACACCCAACTTTGATGCTACAATTACACAGCCTTAGCAGGCCCCTTCAACAGGAACAGCTAAGCCCTCTTTTTTGTATAATACTGTAGACTTAGTATAAGAATTAATTCATTATTACTATAATAATAGTAGATTAGACCACCATAAGTAGTATGATTTATAAATTATATTTTGAATATAAGGTAAACAATTTGTGGTTTATGAAGGAGCCATCTCAAAGTGGCTTAAGCTGCAAATTGTCCCACCAAGTATGTGAGATAAATTCAGGCAGCTGAATCAGTACATACAGTCCACTCACTTAATTATTTACTTGCTTAATTAACTAACTTATTACTAAGAACTAACTAAGAAAGTTAATCAGATAACAAAATGTAATATTAAGGTCAATTTAAAAAAAAATAAGCTGCCAGGATTTTCCCACAATAACTCTTCGTGGGTGGCAGTTTGAATTTTGTTTTCATTTCATTCGAATTACACAAAAGATCCAATTATTTCACAAACAACATGAGTTTAATTGGAATAAAATAAACTAACTCTAAGTATTACCACAGTGCAGCTTCCTTTAAATTTCTAAAAGTTCGCAATCAAGACCCCCAGCGGAGAGCCCATGACGACGCCGTCCACTTGCTTATACATGTGTCTGTCAGGACTTAAGAAGGGTGCTGCCTCTTTCTTGTTCAAAGACTTTTACATGGTTGCTATTGAGCAGAGAGTTGTGGTTGGGTTTGACCTAAAACCCGCCATCTACTGCAGGTATGTCGACGACACATTTCTACAAGTCCTGGATACCGAACGACAGTTGCAGTTGAGGAGGCTTTTGAGCAACACCCAGTTTTAAACTTCACTTATGAGATGGACAGTGGAGGGGTAAGCTGCCTTTCTTATATGTAGCGGTCATGGAAAGGTACGGCAGGTTTCATCATACAGTATAACTAAGGAGACAAACAAAGAAATGTGCCTTAACGCTGACAGCGACTGCCCCGAAATATACAAACGGAGTTTTGTGAACGCTTACGTCGACCGAGCTCTCACTCACAGCTCTGGGTGGAAGCAGGTCGATAAGGAATTATGTAGAATAACCAAGATCTTGGTCAATAATGGTTTCTTCAATGCTTATGTCGAAGACATCATAAAAAAGAAGTTGGCGAGGTGTGCAACAGGCGATGGAACAACTAATACCGCAATACCCGTACTTCCAATAACATTTTTCTACAGAAACTTCTTCTCCTCGGCCTACAAAGCAGAGGAACGAGACGTAAAAGAGACCATTGAGAGGAACGTTACCCCAACTGACGTCAACCATAGGATAAAACTAACAATATATTTTGGAGTGGGAAACCCACCAACCTGCTGTATATACAGGCAAGACAACATCTCCTTCAAGACGCCTACAATGCACGAACACCATGGCCTCATCAAGGAACATATAGTCTCTACACATATCCAGATCATCTCCAGAGACATCCTGGCAAACAACGCAAAAATAATTTACAAATTGAACGACAATAGAAGATTGGCGAGGCTTTATACATCAAGAGTGACATGACTTAAAAAACAGGTGACATATTATTATATTAAAACAAGTTATAGAAATTCGTTTGATATATAAATATAATATTTGACCTGCTAGATAACAATGCATGTCGAAACACAGAAGTAATGTTAGTCACTATCAGAGTAGATATTATACAAATTTCAGATTTGTTTAATTATTTAATTATAATTAATTATTTAAGGTGAAATAATTATTTCACTTAATTTTAAATTAAATCATATATTTCTTTTTTTCATTTCTCCACCCGTAGTCAAACATTCCTCTTAGCACACTAATTCCGTAATGTACATTCTTGTGTATCACCAAAATCTCCGATTAACTGTTTTCCACTTTAAAAATTCCTGAGGACGAAGTAATTCACTCCCCTTCCTATCCTTCACTTCTCGTCCGTTTCTCTCTCATATGTTGAAAGCACACACTCTGAACACATTTATGTGTTCTCTAACTCCCTCCATGTTACTGATCGATGCTTCACATCAAAGAGTTCCCGCTAGGCAGCCGCTACACATCAACGCCCTTCCCCTGCAAACGGCCTTCTTGGATATATATTTTCCTTTGGCACTGATCTTCAAGGAAAAGGTGAAATATTAACTCAAGAAAATATATTTTACATTTAAATTTTGACGTCTGCAATAACCCTCTTCGTATTTTTGGACTCAAAATCCAAAGTCTTGACAGTCTCCGTGGTGTAGTGGTAAGACACTCGCCTGGCGTTCCGCGAGCGCTATGTCATGGGTTCGTATCCTGGCCGGGGAGGATTTACTGGGCGCAATTCCTTAACTGTAGCCTCTGTTTAACGCAACAGTAAAATGTGTACTTGGATGAAAAAACGATTCTTCGCGGCAGGGGATCGTATTCCAGGGACCATAGGATTAAGGACGTGCCCGAAACGCTACGCGTACTAGTGGCTGTACAAGAATGTAACAACTCTTGTATATATCTAAAAAAAAAATCATATTTTTCTGAATATTATTTGATTCCAAATTGTTTTGATCAGTTGCACATATTTTCTCTACATTTGTCAGTACAATGACACGAGTTTATTAATTTAAAGTGTTTCTTCCTATACTTAAGAGACTTTAGATGCTGCTAATCATAAATGTCAGTAACGTTACGAACGGAACAAATTAGTAAGTGTGCTGAGTCTTGACTTATGAGTAGTTCCACAGGCTGTGGGCTCCCGGCTCACACCAACAACTCACTCCGACACTGGTATGGGTGCTTAAGGGGCTTGTGAGCCCCTCTAAAAGTGCAGGAGTATACGAATAAAAAAATTTATTCACGTGAAAGGGAAGAATGAAATGATATGCAATAGAAACATTTTTAGGATGATATGAGAACACCAAGAAGAATGAAAGTGTTTTATGGTGAGTAATTGATGGAAAACCCTTTCTTCTCACCAAATGTAATTAAATCTCGGTAATAATGACGTTTTTCTCCAAGACTCGGCCTCGATAGCTCAGCCAGGTGAGTAATGTACGCACGTTCCTATTGAGGACACCAACCACTTGGGCTAGACGGAAGAGCGACGGTCTCGCTTAATGCAGGTAGGCGTTCCATCCCCGACCGTCCAAGTGGTTGGGCACCATTCCTTTTCCCCCGTCCCATCCCAGATCCTTTTCCTGACCCCTTCCAAGTGCTATATAGTCGTAATGGCCAGGCACTTTCCCCTGATAACTCCCTCCCTCCTATTGAGGCAAAACAATTGCATATTTTGACGGTGTCACGTGGTTACTCGTGGCGGCCCGAGGACCGTCTTCTGAGGATACACACACACAAGGACGAGCATAGTTCCAATGGCTGTAGTCCGGTAGTTATAGATTTATAGAGTGAGCAGTTGTCTAAAGTGGTACAACGAGTTGCGGCTGTTTACAAAAAAGGGTAACAATTCAAATCGGTAATAATAGGACATAGAGATTGGAGCACGAGAAGAAATAGTGACTGGAGCAGTCAGGGTAAATAGTAGGTCAGTAGCTTCAATTATCATTCTCATTACTTTATATACACAATTTAATTTACATATATATGAGTTCTTACATTCTTGTTTGGGCGCAAAGCGATTCTGGCAAGTCCTAAGTCGTAATTGAGTTCTCTGTGGAATTCGACCCGCCAAAATGTTTTAACAGCCAGGTACCCATTCACTGTTGTGTGAACCGAGGCGTGCAGTTAAGAACTGGAGCCAGTCACTCCTTCCCGGTTAGGATTTGAGCCCAGGCCAAATTGCTCGCAAAGCGCGCGAAGAGTTTCTTACCACTCCGCCACGGGGACCAGTTTGATTAGTTTGATTATTGAACAATTTCTAACCATACATGAAAAGATTGCAGTTAACAAGAGTGTTAATTAATAACTAGTATGACGT